ATATAATCGAATATTTTTGTATTAATTAGAAATATTTTTGAAAAATTTAAATTTTTCTCTTTTAATTTATAATTTATACTTTTTAATATTGGTTATACATATATATTTAAAACATTTATGTTAAAAAAATACTTGTGTGGAAATATTTTTCAATTTCTGTATTTTGATTTAGTAAAATTTTAATCTATTTAAGGTATAAATATGTCATTTCTAATTTTTTTCATTTAAATTTCAAATTTAAATTATATTTATCAACTATACATATTTTTTGTAAACTTTAAATAATTTTTTGTTTAAACTATAATTTAACATATTAAATTTAATTTTATTATATATATATATATTTATTTATTTTCACTACAGAAAGATTAATGCAGAATTCTTTTTCCTCCTATTAAGTCAAAAATTTAAATTTAAAAAGTTTGAATTTTGAAATATTAAATATTTTCTCACCCAATAGACATAATAAGAAATAATATTAATAGATTTAATAATTTTTCATACTAAAAGTAATGGGAAACACGCATAGAAGCTTGTGTATATTCTCCATGAAATGATGGATTTTCCATTTTCAAATAACATTGGTAATGCACCTTTCACCTTCCAACAGAATAATTAAAAATCTTACAATTCCAATGTAAAAATGATAGTGGGACATTAATTTGATGTCTGCCACTAATACTTTAATTTCGATATTTAATTTACTTAAAACTTTATTTTTAGTTATTTATTTATTTTTAAAATTGGCAAGCAAGTGAGAACACACCAAAGGCAGAAGATTAAGCGTTTGAATAGTTTGAAGGGTATAAGAAAATATCGAATGATGAGTTTTTCTTTTTCAAGTAACATTAATAAAGAACATTCTATATTCCAATATAACAATTAAAAACCTTACAGTTCCAATGTAAAATTGATAGTGAGTCATTAATTAGATGTCTCCCACTAATTTCTTAATTTCGATTTTTGATTTAATTAAAAACTTATTATGTAATTTTTTTAAAATTGACATGCAAGTGCGAACACAAAGCTGAAACTACATGATTATTTTAAGTTAATATTTTAATTTACTTTATTTAAAAGTATATTTTTATAATTTTAAATATTTTTTTCGTTTAGTTAATAACTTTTATTAAAATTAAATTTATTTCATACATATCATTTTTCCAGTTTTATAATTAATTCTAATAGGTATAATTAAGACCAATAGACATAATAATAACTATCATTAATATGCTTAATAATTTCTCATGCAGAAAGTAATGGACAATATTAAATGCTGAATATTTTCTCACCTCTCAAGTTCAAAATTCAAATTTAGAAAGTTTAAATTTTTAGTATTAAATATTTTCCCTCCCAATAGACATAATAATAAATTAGTAGACTTAACAATTTCTATGCAAAAAATATAGGGAAACATGCATAGAAGTATGTGCACATTTTTCAATCTTCAAGTAATAGCTTCTAGGTAATCATTCACGATACAGGAAATTGTGTTAATTACACTCTTACATCAAAAGAATGAAAGTTTGATTTCTTTCTAATATATTTAATTTTAAAATTTAAAATTCAACATGATAATATAATTAATTATACATACTTTTGAAAAAATAATTTTTTTCTCTTTTAATTTATATTATATATATATATATACATTTAAAATATTTATCTTAAGTATTTTTTAAAAATTTTCTTGTACGAATTTGTTTTCCTTTTTGTATCATTATTTTTAGTTCATATTTTAATTTACTTTAAAACTTTATTTTAAAGTATATTTTTATAATTTTAAATATTTTTTGTTTAATTAATATTTTTTTATTAAAATTAAATTTTTTTTTATACATATCTTTTTTCCAGTTTTATAATTAATTCTAATAGGTATAATAATTAGGACTAATAGACATAATAATAACTATCATTAATATGCTTAATAATTTTCCATGGAGAAAGTAGTAGACAATATTAAATGCTGAATCTTTTCTCACCTCTCAAGTTCAAAATTCAAATTTAGAAAGTTTAAATTTTAAGTATTAAATATTTTCTCTCCCAATAGACATAATAATAATTAATAGACTTAACAATTTTCTATGAAAAAAATAAAGGGAAACATGCGTAGAAGTCTGTAAACATTTTCCAATCTCCAAGTAATAGCTTCTAGGTAATCATTCACGACATAGGAAATTGTGTTAGTAACACTCTTACAGCAAAAGAATGAAAGTTTGATTTCTTTCTAATATATTTAATTTTAAAATTTAAAATTCAACATGATAATAGAATTAATTACACATACTTTTAAAAAATAATTCTTTTCTCTTTTAATTTATATTATATACATATATATATATATATACACACACATTTAAAATATTTATCTTAAGTATTTTCTAAAAGGTTTATTGTACGAATTTTTTTTTCTTTTTGTATCATTATTTTAAGTTAAGATTTTAATTTACTTTATTTTAAAGTATATTTTTATAATTTTAAATATTTTTTTGTTTAATTATTAATTTTTATTAAAATTAAATTTATTTTATACATATCTTTTTTTCAGTTTTATAAATATTACTAATAGGTATAATAATTTCTCACTTAAGCTTCTTCAAACAATAAGTCACCGCTCATCTTACCAACGAAAATCTCGTCTCCATCGCCAATCTTTTTTGTGAAGAATTAATGTTTAATTATGGAGCTTGATTTTCGAGATTCTCTAAAGAGTGAGAAGAATAACACTCCAATTTAAAAATTTATAGAATATTGGAGGGTTTAATTATATTTGCATCGAAGACGGTGCGCTTGTCATGAAAAAGCCAAAGGTCACGTCACTTAGATAACAACTAATCACTTCTCAGAAACTACCCATATACTTATTATTTTAGAAAATGAATATTAAAAAATCTTTTTTCAAAAAATAATTTAATAAATGCAGAACGTATAGTGATATAGTTGCTGCAATTACCAATGCAGGACGTGTAATGGTATAATTGCTGCATTTTTGTTCTTTTTTAGACCCAAAAAATTAATTAATTCCAATAAACATAATAATAAAATGCCCCCTCTTATTTTTCAAATTAAACATTTTACATCATTAATTTACATAATGAGTGCTAATATAGCACTCGCTATGAGTTACATCTCCAAGAAAGTTATGACTGTGCTTTAAAATCTGTTTGTAGGTAACATATACCATAAAAATCTGTTTGTAAGTAACATATATCATAAATAGGGTGCTATCTACATTAACGATAATTGATTAACATAACAAAGTAAACAACTCGAATTGTAGTGTAAGACAAGAGGAACATATTATAAATGACTCTAAAAGAATTAAAAACGTATCATTTTAGTTTTAATCTTATTAAACTTATAAAAAAAATATAAAGAAAGAGATTAGCAATTATTATTAGTAAAATAAATGTAATGTATCTCTTATAATTTGGGTGTACAATCAAAAGCTACAAAAGATTCTATGGTTTGAGAAGGCATGCCTAGGTGGCTTTTCGAATGAACATGCTCAAAACGCGAGAATAAAAATCAAGGCTCACTTTGGGGTCTTTGATTCGAAACATATGCCATTGAAATAACAAATAAAAAAATCAAAATTGAAAAATTAAAAGAGAGTAACCCATATCTTCTTCTTCCATCTAATATACTCACAAACCGTTCTTCTTCTTCTTAACCTTAATTTCACTAATGATGTTGGTTTTGTGGTAGATTGTTTGCTTTCACTATTATAACGCCTTGATCTTTTAATTTTCCACCATTATGCATTTTTCGCGTTTTCCTCATTGATAACCCTGAAACATAAGCATAAAATGAGAAAAAATTATAAAAAAATATCCCTAAAATCTTTTTTCAACATTTTGAGGAGATTGATTATTTGCCAAGAAACTTTGTACTTGATCTACATACCGCTCCCACAAAGTACACTCAGGCTTGTGATATTCCAAATCCTTTCGTCAGCTTTGCTTTACAACAGAGCTGCAAAAAAAATAAAAAAAAATATATGTTCATCTAATAGAAGAACAACTTGACAATAGCATGAATTTTTCCACCCTACAAAACGCATACATACAATAGTTAAAAAAAAGCTTATCATAATATTGTGTTATGGAAAAAAATCCAAGATCCATTAACTAAACCCTAGAAAAAACCTAATCACATCTAATCAACAAAATTTTATCTGTGTAGAGCTTCATATCTCATTGTTAAAAAAAAAAAACTATATTATCATTTATTGATAGTTTTATATTTCAAAAAATAAAATTTACAAAATTAATATATAAAGATGTTATTTGTACAATAATCATGAAACAAATTTTACGATTTTCAAAAAATCAAAAATCAATCCAATCCAACATGAAAAAAGATTGGATTGGATCAGATCGAATTTGAAAAAAAATCTAAACCGAATGAATAATTACATAATCAAGTTAAAAGAATTGGATCGAATAATTTTTAGTTTCAAAATTAATCCAATCCAAAATGGGAACCCTTTCTAATTTTGTGTGAATAATGTAAGAGGAAAAAACAACTTACAACTATTATTTAGAAGACTTAGACCTCGTGAATCGTGATTATATATAACTAAGTTGAAGTTTGCTTAGTTACCTGGCCTGAAGTTCCGCTGAACCATAGTTATGGTTAGGCACATATAAAGGTGAAAGGGTTTGCTTACGTGTAAGAAACCCACACTTATATAAATATTAGGACGGGAGTAGATTTTCTGACGTGAAAAAGTGGTCATGTAATCATGTTATTTGATCATAACTATTTATTGATAATAAAATTAGAGAGAAAAAAGTGTATAATTTTTAAATAAGTAATTATGATCAAATAACATAATCACATGACCCCTTTTTCACGTAAGAAAATTGATTCCCTATTAAGACACAGAGCATTAGCAACTTCGTTACCAAAGCGACACATCATCGTAACTTTTTATATATATATATATATATATATATATATATATATATATAGAGAGAGAGAGGAGAGAGCAGAAAGAGAAGATAAAAGCTAAAATTATTCATTCCATTTTCATTCATTCATTCACTTTGAAGACAAAATAAAAAAAACTTCTCTTCTCTCTCTTTCTTTCTCTCAATCTCCTTACCACACCACCACACACAGTCCAACGTTAATCGATCAAAAACCCACTTCTGTCGATATCTGTTTGATCCAGAGTTGTTCACTTTTACTTCAAAAAAAAAACGTGAAAAATTCCGTTCGATTCTCCTTCACTCGATGAAGATTGAATTTCAGAAATCGTGGATGTCTATGATACGTAATCACCGTTTCCATGTTTTTTATGATTCGATCTGTGATGATCATAATGCCACTCATCGAAAACTTGTTGAGCATGTGGTTTTGTTCTGCTTCCCCTGAATTCTTTGTTTGTTTTTGTTTCTTACCCTTTTTGTGTGGTTGCGTATTCAGCAAGTGTACTTGTTGGATTCGATTACACTGATAATTCTCTGATCTGGGAAAGTCACACCCAAAAAAAGAAACGATTTTTCCCCTTACCCTTGAATAACTGATTGCAAAACCGGTTCCAATTACAAGCCCCCGTTTCTGGGTGTTCATCCATGGAGGACGATTTTGCTGGTTTTTTATTGGCTGATCTTACTTTGATGAATTATGATGAGTTCACGTGAATGAAGATTTCAAATTTAATTACAAAATTGGAAAATTCCTTTCTTTTTTGTGTTGGAATATCCCATCGTTAGGAGAACGAATACTATACTTCTCCTCAAAGTTTTCGTCTTTGGATTCACCTTGAAATATCATGTGTTTTGTTACCATCCATCTTTCCATGCTTTTTCTTCATCTGGGTCATCTTAAATCTAAATCAAGCGTTTTTTTTTAAACGATCGGTGTTGATTTTCTTCTCCAGCTCTGATTTTTTATTTTTTGTGAATTGATTTTTTATTTTATTTTATTTTTACTTTCTGATCCTTCACTTTCATAGGAGGTTCATGTTTCTGTGGGTCTAAATGCATGCCTTCTGGTCTTGTAGTTCATAATTTATAATTTCATAATAAATGGACAAAGTTGATCATATAATCCAGCTTTTTTTTATTAAACTTTTTGTGTCACATAATGAGTTTATGTAAGCATGTTTTTTCTTTGTAGGTTTGAGACCTGAGATTTGCTAGTCAATTATATTTTTGAGGTACACACTTTTGCAAGTTAGTAGAAAAATATGTAGAGTTTCAGATGCTATAATTAGATAAACAGAGAAATCAATTAAGATAGTAATAAATTTGCACATATTTTCGTAATTCCCAGAAGTTTAGATCTTTTCTTCTGCAAAGTTTGGGCACTGCAAACCTTACGCAGTGCCCATGGATGCCACAACAAGCGGAACCCCAACTATTCAATACCATAACATCCCTGACCAGTCAATTACTGCCATTGTTGCCACACCACTTCCAACATTTCAAAGGCAGCAACGCCATTGCTTTGGGGACAAAAGTCCAGGAGAGTTTCCCTTGTCTGCTAATCCCTCCATTGTCCTTCATGTCCTTACTGCATGTAATTTGGATCCTCAAGACCTTGCTAAACTAGAGGCAAGTGCTATGCTTATCTGCATTTCAACTGTGAAGTTGTTCTTGACTAGTGCCAATGCCAATAATGCTGGCTTTGTTTTTTTTTTTTCTATGTGCCTGTTTCAGGCAACATGCTCTTTCTTCAGCCAGCCAGCAAACTTTGCTCCTGATTTCAACTTGTCCTTATCTGAGCTTGCTGCACTTGACATGTGCCAGAAGAGAGCCATCTTTAAGCCAATGACAACAGAACAACGGCAAGATTTGAAGCAAAGATGTGGCGGTTCTTGGAAATTGGTCTTGAGGTATTTGCTGGCTGGAGAAGCATGTTGTAGGAGAGAGAAGTCACAGGCAATAGCAGGTCCTGGTCACAGCATTGCTGTGACATCAAAAGGGGTTGTCTATTCATTTGGTTCCAACAATTCAGGACAACTTGGGCATGGCACCACTGAAGAGGAATGGCGACCTAGACCAATAAGGTTGGAACCATGTGGATATTCCTCAATCCTTACAGCTTAATCCTGTAAACTTAAGGCTAAGTGGAAAGTGAACTAGTTGATTTATAAGTTAACGGAACTTCATTATGTTTCAGAAATTTGCAAGGCATTCGAATTATTCAAGCTGCTGCTGGAGCTGGGAGAACAATGTTGATCAGTGATTCTGGGCAGGTTTATGCATTTGGGAAAGACTCTTTTGGGGAAGCTGAGTATGGAGTTCAAGGATCTAAAACTGTTACAGTTCCACAGTTAGTAGAGTCTTTGAAAAACATATTTGTTGTCCAAGCTGCAATTGGTAATTTTTTCACTGCTGTATTGTCAAGAGAAGGCAGGGTTTACACATTTTCTTGGGGTAGTGATGGCAAACTTGGTCACCACACTGATGCAAGTGATATGGAACCCCATCCTTTATTAGGAGCTCTGGAAGACATACCAGTAGTGCAAATTGCTGCTGGATATTGCTACCTGCTTTGTCTGGCTTGTCAAGCCAGTGGAATGTGAGTTCCAACTGTATATTCTTTTCTTTCATGTTACAATTTCGCGTGGGAAAAATAAAAATAAAAATAAAAGTTCTAGTTATATTATACAAATTAGGCATTTTTGCATACTCAATTTTGAAGCATATTAATGTGCTGAAGGAAGAGGAAATTTTTTTAACACAGTGTAATTTTTTAACTGACAAAGATATATTCCCTTTAAAAAAATCATTTAGTTATATGCATTTGCATGAGAAGTCCATGGACTCAAGCTCAAGATTCATGGAAGGAATCAAACATTGTTCATTATGATTCTTAAGTTAACTAGTTTATACATGTAGCTTCATTCTAATTATAATAATTATTTGAATGTTTATTATGCCATCCTTCCTTGAAAACTTATAGGTCAGTGTACTCTGTTGGATGTGGCCTGGGGGGCAAGCTTGGACACGGCTCAAAAACTGATGAAAAGTACCCTCGTTTGATTGAACAGTTCCAGTTGTTAAACCTTCAACCCATGGTGGTTGCAGCTGGTGCTTGGCATGCTGCTGTGGTAGGACGGGATGGCCGTGTTTGCACATGGGGATGGGGCCGTTATGGTTGCTTGGGGCATGGGAATGAAGAATGTGAATTAGTACCTAAGGTAGTGGAAGCATTGAGCAATGTCAAAGCTGTTCATGTTGCGACGGGAGATTACACAACCTTCATAGTGTCTAATGATGGCGATGTTTATTCATTTGGTTGTGGAGAATCTGCTAGTCTTGGGCATAGTGCTGGAAATGATGGGCAGGTCTGCATTTTTTTATATTTGATTTGATTTATTTTCTTGACTTAGTTTAAATGATGTGTTTCATATGTTCTCCTCCCCTCTTCTTTGATTTTGCAGAGTTATATGACATGAACTCTGTTCAGTGATCACAATAATTGAAACTTGTAGATAAGTTCCAATTGTAAAAATGCCAGATACTAAATTCTAGTAAAACAGTAATTATTCGGGATGCATTTATTCATATATCTTAAGTTTTACCCTTATTTAAGGTCACATTATGCATTATGTGCTAATGATTGTTTCATATCCAAATCTAAATGACCATTTTGAGCAATAAACCTTGATAACAGTTTCTCATAAATGCCTTAGAGCCAGGTGACAGGGAGCACACACACACACACACATATATATATATATATATGAAATGTTAAAATTGGTGATTATAGTGCATTCAATTTTAAGTTAAATCTTTTATTATGGAAACAATCAGTATATTATTTAGCCATTTAATGAAAAGATTTTGTTCACTTAACCATAGTAGTTAATTGCGCCGCAATAGTGTCGCGAGCCGCGCCGTATGGGTGTTGCAGTGCCTCGCCGCAAGAAACTGCATCTTGCCACACCGGAATGCAATAGCGCCCATTGCTATCGCATTTGCGGCCAAATCGCAGCCATAAGGCAAAATGTCAATTTTGTCCTAAATTTAAATGTGTAACAGAAAATTTTTAAGGGTTTTTTAGTCTATCTGTGTCTTTCTCTGTCGCTTCTGCTATCTATGCCTTTAAAAAATATTTCTTTTTGTCATTATTTCTGTCATATATCTATTTCGCTATTCTCGCAACCGCAACCTGCTATAGCACTATAGCGTTTTTCGGAGTTGGCCTCAATATGCCGCAATCCACATTTGATAACTTTGCACTTAACATGAATTAACTCAACTATGTTGTGATTGTACAGGTACCAGGGAACAGACATGCAAATGTGTTAAGTCCTGAGCTTGTTACTTCACTGAAACAGATTAATGAACGGGTGGTACAGATTAGCCTGACCAATTCCATATACTGGAATGCTCATACCTTTGCCCTCACTGAATCAGGGAAGCTATATGCATTTGGGGCTGGAGACAAAGGACAGTTAGGAATTAAGCTTGTTACCAACCAGACTGAAAGGGGAAATCCAGAACGTGTTGACATTGATCTTGGTTAACTGTTTGTGCCTTTATAGTCCTTCCCATTCTTTACAGCATGCTATCCTTTAATTTATGGTCGCCATGCATAGCATTTAGTGTTTAATTTTCTTATCTATTTTGTAAATATTTAATCAAAGAATGCATCCTTATGGTCCATGGTAGGTAACAGCTAACAAGGGCCTATGCTGCTGTCTTATGGTGGTTGATATCACTCTTAGGCTTCAACTGGTTGTTAATAGTTGATACATTGTTGTGAAGGTTTAATTACAGTGTAGTTGTCTTTGAGTTGTTTTCATAGATTATTTGCTTAGATATAGTTGTTAAATTCATCATTTATTCATCATCAAAACCCTCATGTTTGGATTATTAAGGGTCCGTCTGTTTGGATGAGTTTTTTTTTCTTCAAAAGCTACTTTTTTTTCAAGGAAAAAGCACTTCTCGTTTTTAGTTCGTTTGGATGTTTCCTTTTAAAAAAAGAAGAAATTACAAAAAAAGTCAAAAATCTACTTTTTTTCATAAGCTAAAAATTTTAACTTCTAAGAAAAGCAGAAGTCAAAAGTCAAATTTTTTTTCAAAAACTAAATATTTTTATAAAAATATAAATAACTTTAACTTTTATAAAAAGTACTTTTAAAATAAGGAAGTGATAAAAGTTACTTTTTTTTAAAAGCTGAAACAAACGACCTTAGAACTCTTTATATTTCAGTGATCATAAGTCTTGTTTGTTTTGTGGAAGGTTGGAGACCCCTATTGGGAACCACGCGGGAAAGGGGTAATAGAATATGGTGTGATTGAACCTTCCACATTGAACACCACATTCTCTGGTGATAGAGAAATTTTTGTATAAACTTAAATTACTTAATATAACATAAGTGCACTAATCCAGTAAATTATTGGTACATTACTAATTTTTGTTAAATAAATGTTATTTTATTAGTGTATTAATGATGTGTTAATACTTTATTAGGTTAGTGCACTTAAGTTGGGTATAACAGGTTGATTAGGGAAGATTCTACTATGCTACAATGGCATTGGTTCCAATCCACTGTTTTAACTTTTAAGCCAAGGTAGCCATTCCATGATGGTGGTCTAGTTAATCGTCATGATAGTAATGAAAATATTATATTGTTCTTTAATATGCATTAAATGCAATTTAAGGAATTCTAATTCTGGTCTGGTCACATTAATGTGCACCAAGACTCATACACTTAAACTAATATTTATCTTGTTAATTAATTTTTTTTTTTAAGTAAAATTGCATGCACATAAAAGGCCAAGCAAGCATGAAAATCAATTTTACATTGCAATTTGTAGAAGCTTGATTTGCAATCTCTTGGCCGTCGAAAAGATTCGTTTTATTCAAAAAATACAATTCAAAATTATACCCAGTGCATTTGATTTAATTAACTGTATTTAATTAACTGTACAAGAAGTTCAATTTGATTTGTCGATGGTTGTGATAGACTGATAGGAGGTGGTGGTGTGGTCTGATAGTAAGGGTAAGCAAGGGGTATATTAATATGTGTTGAGTAACCTTTAAAACAAGTAATGATAAAAGTTGCAACTTAATAGTTAGGATTTTACCAATTGGATAAAATACTATAATAAAGAATACAGATCTTTTCACTATAAAAATTAGCATATTCATTATAATAATTAGCATATTTACGGGTACTTATGCACATGCCTATTTGCATATTTTCTTTTATTTTTTTGTTTGAGTAAAATAATATATATATATATATATATATATATATATATATATTGAAATTTTAAGAAATATTCAAAGATAAATGTAATTAAAAAAGGTATGAAGAATATATAATTTTATCTTTGTTATATTTATTTTTAATTTTCTCAATTTTTTAATGTGAAATAAAGTGCATTATTATATTCATTTTTAAATATTTAAATAAATAAAAATGTAAGTTTATAATTTTTCAGTTTTAATATTGATATTTAAATACATTTTTCTGGAAACATAATTATTCCAGATTACACAATTTGGGGAGGCTAACTTCTATAGTATCATTGTATAACCTTACATATAAATCTTTAAATGAGTAATTTATAACGATAATTAAAAAAAAAAAACAGAACTTAAAAGACCAAATTAAGAAATTTCTTTTATACTTTACCCAAAAAAAAAAAGAAATTTCTTTTATATAACTGTGAGAATTATTGATTAATTAAATAATGTTAGCTTCAAACTTAAGGTCAGGCACCGAAAAGCTTCACTTGGGAAGCAACCCGTAGAAATTATGAGAACATTTTCAGTACTACTATCGTATTAAGTAGTGGGTACATTTCTATTCAAATGAAAGTATCGACTATGTATTCTTCGAAATATATTAAGATAATATTAATGTTATTAGCACAAGTGTTATGCTTCTATTAGTGGTAACTAGGTATTATAGTAGTATATTATATTTTTTGGGAAGCTACACTCATTGGCTTCAACTCACTCACACAGTCTAAAGGAAATATATGTGTGGAAGAGTCATGCGTATTATAAACTAAGCAACTTATCTTTTGTATAGATGATTTACCTTTCTTTAACTTTGAAGTATTTTGAAAAGATTAATTGGTAGTGATGAGAGTTTTTTCTATTTATTCTTGTATTTTAATTTTTTTAAGAAATTTATCTATAATTTATTACAATTTTAATTATGATAGGCCTAATAGACATTGTAGGCCAGATCTTTCAATCCTTAAAAATTAATCAAGTCGGACTTATAATTTAACCTCCATTAGGTTAAGAGACCAAGTCAAACTCAAAATATTCTATATATATCTAATCTATTTCGACCAAATCTCAATTCAACCCATTTTCACGAGATCATTTTTTGTACTCCAAAAGTACATACTCCTTATCCAAAAATGAAAAAATGTAAGATATGAGTGGAAATAAATATAAAAATGTTAATTTTTACTATATTTAATAAAATGAGTACTGAGTACTCTGTGCCACTGAAGCACCGAAAATATTTTCCATTTTCACCCATACTTGAAGGATTGTTGATCTTGTTTCATGTTGACTTTGGTATGAGTTACCTTTCTCAGCCTTATAGCTGCTAGCTAGTTTTGGTCTAAGGCTTAGGACCCTTATTTTTCTTTTTTAAAAGAGATTATTTTTTGTCAATTCATTTTCTCTTCATTTCAATTTTTTTACTACATCAATCCTAGTGCACTCCCAATAATCACTAACCAATGCTAGGACTAGGAAGATAGTCCAACTCTTTGTTTTCTTCATTTTCCTTCTCTGCCCTGATTATTAAATGAAACATTGCAGCGTAGAAAATGCTATCTGTATGTACGGTAATAGCATTATACTGCATCATTTTCTAACTTCATATATGACCATGATTGACTTAGAATAATTAGACATATACCCAATGGGTGCAGCTCAGTTGGTTCCTTGACGCTGAGTTAGTGGGGTTGGACATGTGTTCGATTCCCGCTGAATACATTCTTGAGGAGGGGGCTGAACCTTTAGCCATCACTGACCCCCGCACTCCGGATTAGTCTCATAGCCGGCTCAAAAAGTCGAAGCTTGTGGGGATACCGGAGGGAGCCAACTCGCCTCAAAGAAGTAATTAGGGTTGAGTAACTCCAAAAAAAAAAAAAAAGAATAATTAGACATATCTGCGATCTCACTAACCAATTACGAAAAGATTTTAGCATTGGGGTCATGCATTCTTTCATAATGCAAGTTTGAAGGTTAGCATATGATGGCTGAGCAAGAGAAACATGATAACTTTAATTGCTTGCATTTGCTAGCACATGATCCAATCATTAAAGACAAGTTTACTTTCTATTTGCATGATTTCTTTGATAGCATAGATTATTTTTTATTATAACATGTTCGACAAGTCAATTTGTATTTATTTATTTTTAATATGATGTCAATTCGTATTTATTAGTTTCCGAGCAACATCACTATAGATTCATAAATATGCTCGCATTAAATTCCATGGAAAAAACAGAGCAATCCGTTAAAGATAAGAACAAAGGTTTTTTGAAAAGAAAATCACAAAAGAATATGTTCACCCTAACTACCTCAATCACATTGAGTCCATAGATATCCCATCCATTAGCTTATCTCTTCTTATGTAGTGATGATATGTAGATTAAGATGTTCCTTTGATGTTCTTCGTGCTGCATATGCCTAGCTACCCTATCCTAGAAATTAAAGATCTTTTTTGTAATACAGAAATTAAAGATCTTAGTAGCATAATTTGACACCTTCATGATTTATCCATAAATATATCGCATATTTCATATAAATGTGATCTAATAATCTAATATAGATTGTGTTTAGTCTGAAATGGATGAATTAAATTGTTGCTTGCATTTGATCTTCCTTGTAATCGTCCAAGATGTGTTGTGATGGAATGACATGTGAATATGTGATAGAGACTCTAACGCTCAAGTTAATAAAAGCAAAAGGTGGAATAATGTAAAAGGTAGAAAATTCTTATTTGAAAGCACGAAAGCTCAATATATATAAGCAATTGTGAAAAATATTCTAGAGCGTATATGATCCATGTAGTGAAATAAGCTGTTAATGTAGGTGAGGATCACGAAAACAAACACTACACCATGGATAATATGGGGAAATTTTTTCAATAGTACAGGAGTACCGAACTCAATACTTCCTTTTACTAAACAGAAGAAAAAAATTCATTTTAACCTATTCTTTGTGAGAAAAACGTTTGTCATTTTAATGAATATAGCTTTGTCATTTTAGATCCTAACCGTTGATTTTCGTCAATCAACGGTTAAAATTTATTCGGTCAAACTTATTAACTAATTAGTAATTTATAATAAAATCCAATAAATCCTAACCGTTGATTGACGGAAATCAACGATTATAATCTAAAATGACACAAAATTATATCCTATAAAAGGACAAATATTTTTCCCTTACTTTTTTATATAATTCTTTTTAAGTCCCAAAATTTTTCCTCTTTTAATATGGATATACCTACATCTGTTGTACCAAAGGTTTTCTCATAATATGGATGCTTTGTCTTGCAATAAAAGTGGACCCCATGAGACCCAAACCAAGGATCCAGAATAGATTGGTTTTCTTTTTTTTATATATATATACATAATTGGTTTTTTTTTTTAGATATAATTGGTTTACTTGTTAGAAAATAATATAAATCATTAAAAAGGCCTTCACTTAACACCTTAAGGTTTTGGGTTGAAGTGATTCTTTATATGATATCAGAGCTTTGGTGACCACAAAGTCACAAGTTCGATCATCATCGCCCACCACTTGTGAAATTAAATAAGCACAAAGTAGACCAAACCAAAAATTGGTTTTACCTTATGGATGCTTT